ATAAAATAGAACCAGAGGCACATAAACATGGAACAGACTGGCGGATCTCAGAGGGAAGCGGGAGAGGGGGCGGGAAGAGATTAGCCAAAGCCCTTCTATGCCTATATGCACAGCCATGGACACAGACACTAGTGTGGGGAAGGCCTGGGGCGGGACCTGGATGGGGGGACAATGGGGGAAAAAGGGAGGGACATCTGTAATATTTTCAACAATAAAGATAAAACAAACAAAAATAAATGCATGCCTGAAGTCACACACACACAAAGGAAATTCCCGTATTTCAGAAGCAAAGAGATAGAAGTTATTTTTTTAAAGTGGTTATTACTTTAACTGGTTTAAAAATAATTAACACATCCTGCAAGTATTATGTGTTCATCTTGAAAGGTCTTAATTTCAAGGAAATATTGCTACAAATTTCTTTTGCTTCCAGGGTGAAGTTTAGCCAGCTACTGCTGACCCAGTCAGTGTGGTCCCTCCCTGCACTAGGCTACTGGTATCTGGAGGTGTGAATTCGTGCTCTCTGCCCTCTGAGTCTGCCCATGACCTACTAACAGCACTGTTTGAGCTGAGGACTTTCCACTGAGCCAGCTGGCCCCACCCTGGACTTTGCTTCTGATGCCCTTCCTCATGGGCAATAGCTGGTAGCTCCCCCCCTTTCATCCCCACCCAGGACTGGAGCTCCAGGCATTTTAGGTTCATGCTGACCCCAAGCTTCATCCTCGTTGGACATAATGCCTTACATTGACCTTCTTAAGTCTTGATTCCTGCCTTCAATCCTTAATCCTATGTACGTATTTCATTTTCCATCTCATGGCCTTCTCTCACTTTAATTCAGATTCCCACGTTTTATGTTTTTAATAATTATTCTCCTGTTCATCTTTTCTTTTCAATCTCAACTTTATTTTTAAAATTTAACAATTTATTGGATTTTTGATTATTAATTTCTACTTTATTTTTTCCTCTTTTCCACTGTTCTCATTTTAATATTGTGCTAGGCCTGCCCCTTTACTGCCCAAGTCATGTTCTCCTTCCACTCCTCCTGTTAGTCTACCCCCTAGCCTGCCCTCACTCCCCCTCAACGGCAAGAACTGTGCCCACAGGTTGGTAGCACCCAACGAAGCCCCCTCCAGCAGTCACCCTTTTAGCTTCCTGCACGTTCTCAACAAATAAGCAAAACAAAGGTCATCCCGGGAGACTTGGGTGAATCTTCCCCAGGGCAGAGAGTACATGCTTTACTTCAGGGTTTTTCAGTCCCGACAGGACACTGTTGATATCTGCTGCTGGATCATTCTTTGCTGTGAGGCTGCCCTGTGCATGCAGGGGGCTTAGCAGCATCCCTGGCCTCTACCCACTAGATGCCAGGAGTATCCCCTGGCATGAGTTCAAAATGTCTCCACACACTGCCAAAAGTCTCCTGGGGGGCATCCCCCAGCCCCATTGAGAAGTACTAATTTACTTAAATAAATATTATTTGCTGACATCTTTTACCATGCAGACTTTAAGAAACTCTGTATGTTCTAAACTCTATGGCTTCAAACCTAATACATAGTAACAGAAATCAGAGCAGTAGATGCCTGGGGGTAAAGTGTGGAAGGGGGGGGGTGACTTACTGAGAAGGAGTACAAGGGAACTTTCTGAGATGAAAGAAATTATCTATATTTTGATTGGGGTGAGGGTTACAGAAGGTGTACAGAGACGTCAAAACTCAAATTGTTGTAAGATCTGTACAATTTAAAATCTGTGCATCTCACTGTATGCAAACTATATTTCTAAAAGGATCTATGCACACCTAAGTGGTGCCAAATCCATGCCAACATATGGGTGGCAACTGCAGGCCAATGGTCATTCCTAGGACAGAGTCAGCCACACACCTGACTGTGGTAAGGAGCAGGTGGTATTGAATGTGTGATGGAAACCATAGGAGGAGCCTGTGTAAAAGGTCCATAGGCAGACAAGCCTGATGCTTATGTGCTGCCCGACATCTTGAGGGGTTCACTTTCCTTTCTGGCATCAAAGGGGGCTCTTCCTGGGAAAAGACCACCCCATTCCACCTGGGCTGGACCAGATGTTATCACAAATGGGAATTGTGGACACTGGACCCCTGCCGGGTGGCTATCATTAAATTTCTTAGAGTTCATAATAAGTACTCAGGCTAATCCATTCAATATCAGAATTTAAAAGGGGAAAGGCTTGCCTGGCTGGCATGACTCAGCAACTGAGCATCGACCTATGATCCAGGAGATTGTGGTTCAATTCCCGGT